GTCAGACTGCAGAAGTTTGAACCAGCCCAACTAAGTCATGCTGAACCAGTGTCCTTCTTACCTTGTGTGGTCCATTTCCCTGTAGGCTGTGAGGCTTGCAGGGACCCCCAGACCAAGGGGTAGGTGGGCCACACACCCAAGAGCTGCCTGGAAGAGGTTTCCTAGAGTCACCAGGAGAGGATCTCCTCCAGTCTGTCGAGCTACTTGTAGGCTGTGCAGTGTGATTTAGGCTCCCAGCTTTTATGGGCTAGCACCTGTGCTGCTGGTGCAGCTGTCTGGGAGTCTTTTTATTCATGGAAGCAACCCCAATAAAACTCAGGTTTGTCAAGTTGGAATTGGTGCCCACACTCTGTTCTGCCATGGGCTCACTGTCTGGGGTGAGTGGATGTGTGGGTTCCTTCTTCTCAGGACACTTCCTACCCCCAATTATAAGGTACCTAAATATATCTATAACAAACCATCTGGTGTCGGACCCCAGAAATTCAAACTAGCCCAACTGAGTCATGCTGAACCAAGTTTCCTTCTTACCACATGTGGATCCCTTTTTTTTTGTCACACAACAAATTTTATTTCAAATTTCAAAACAAAAGTTTTGTCGCACAACAGTTTTATTAAGTATTGATCTTCCCAAGTCCATGTTCTTTTAATACGCTTTGTGACAAAGTTGCTTCCACTTCATCCCCACCTAAAATGGTCCCTGCAAGGACAAGTAACTCCGCCATTGTATTTGGAGTGGGATAGTGGCTTTCCCTCACAGAACATCATTTGTCCAAAAATATTAAGAAAAGACTGACAGAGTCATCCAGACACAAATGTTTGGAGACATTTTTCTTGAAGTTGACTGAAGTGAGCCTGTCACTCCAAGAAAAACATCTGACGTGGTTTATTGCCAATGATAACATCTGAGCTTTCTAGCAAGGATTAGGATTTCAAAAGAAATTGAATGTGCTGCCATAACTTGACAGATTCTCAACACTTTTCGATGAAATCAAGTGACATTATACAGCAATAGGTCATGTGATATTTTGTTGTTAAATTAACCGTGTAAGCATTCAGACTGCCTGATACATCTGAGTGGACCAATATTTTCTAAATTACCAATGCAGGAGATTGCAGAATCCTTTATGAGCATGGAAGCTATTGCCAAACGCCAGATAGATCGTTTTCTTTTTGTTTGTTTGTTTGAGATGGGGTTTCTCTGTGTAGTCCTGGATGTCCTGAAACTCTCTCTGTAAACCAGTCTGGCCTCAAACTCAGAGATTTGCTTGCCTCTGTCTCCTGAGTTCTGGGATTAAAGGTGTATGACATCATCACCTGGCTAAGTTAAGTTATACTGATCTGATTTTATGTTCTGCATTTACAAATCCTACCGCAGGTTGACTTTAAATGAGCTGGAAAAATAAAATAAAATGATTGATTAAAACCAAAAGCCAAAAATAGGAATATCAATTAAGAAACTGCTTCCATCATATTAGCCTGTAGGTAAATCTTTGGGAACATTTTCTTGGTCAGTAAGTGATAGGTGCAGGCTGGTGTGTCTTTGTGTGTGTGTGTGTGTGTGTGTGTGTGTGTGTGTGTGTGTGTGTGT